CCCCAAAACCCCAAAACCCCAAAACCCCAACAGTTCACTAAAGTAACGAATATAGTTAAAAGTATTAGTTAAAATTAAATTAAAATTAACTGATAATAAACATCTACTTTTTAAAATGAAAAGACAACTACATTAGGTTAGTCAATTTATATCTCTTTCCATATTTGCTAAGCATATTATTTATAGAGGCATTAATGTGAAAGATGTAATAAAGCAGATCAGAATCTTCAGAGTTAGCCAAAGAGAGTTAAGACCAGTCATAAAAAGCCAAATAAACTTATCAATATCTAACCTAGATTTTTAAGCGGAACTAAAAAATAGCTAGATAATTTAGAGAACATTGGAGTAGATGCAGATCTTAAAGAGATTGATTAAAATTAGAGAGATTCTATTCTGTTTGAAAATAACATGGCTGATTGTGTTAGCCAAGTTGATGTGATAGACTAGGTTGATCCACTTCATTTGGAATAGTTTGAGATATTAAAGCAAAATGTCTAAAATATATCACCTTTAGCTAACAACAAAAAAGTTAGAATATAACTTCAACAGCAACATTAAGAGTTATAATTGAGTGAGTAAAGTCAATCAAAAATATATGATGAAAATGATTTCTCGCAATAGTCTATGATATAGTCTTTCATAAAGAAGTCTATAAGCATCAATAGTCAAAATTAGATCCAGCAAAGTTTCTGCTAACATCATAGATCAAGTCTGTCCAAAGAGTTGTTTGATTATAAAAATGATGAGTTATCTATTTGTGAAGAGCTAGACTAAGATCATAACTGTAATAGTGAAGTTTCTCAATTTCAAATTGAGATTGAATCTAATACTCAGCTTTAGCAATAGACCTGCTACTTAGACAAGGCTCAGATAATTGATACAACATTATCATTCTTCAGTGAGACCGACCTTAACTTTTATGAAAAGGAGAAGGAAAGCATAAAAGTTGATTTGATGAATTTGCTAGGTGACGAGCACTACTTAACTCACAACTAAAATAGTTTATTCAATCAAACTAAGTCATAGATCTAGCTTTTGAATTTGAGATGAATGATAAATAATAATTGATGTCCACACACTGCTCTTAAGCACACTTAATTAACTGTCGCTATACATAATATAAAATGATATAATTTGATAAATAATTAATTCACAAAAATAAAGTAGCAGATTAATAGCATTTATATTACTACCTTAAGGGGTTTTGGGGTTTTGGGGTTTTGGGGTTTTGGGG